GTGGGGACGTGGGAGAGACGGGGCGCTCGAGGCATCTGTGCGGAGCTGGGCGCCCACCCTTCCCGCCGAGGCCGCCTTCGGAGGTGGGCAAGCCCGGCACCTCGGATGGAGCAGGGCCCGGGGCCTGCTGGGCGGGAGGCCACTTGCAGGCCTCTTGGCCCCTTCGGCCTCGGAATTTATCCTTAAACTGGAAGGACCAGATCCTGGAGGTGGTAACAGCGACTTTACACCCCAAGCTGGGAGTCAGGCAGCGAAGGCCTCCGACCGCAGCAAAGCCGCAACCTCCTCCAGCCCCCTTCTTAAAGAGGCAAAGAAAAATAAGGAAGCCGGCAAGAGAGAAAGAAGCCTTAGGGACATGTTTAAAAATGGTGCAGTGCACCAGACGGGGATGGGAAGGGTGAGGTATGTCTGGTGCGATCTGCAAAGCCCCGAGTGGTTCTGTACTTTTTTCACCAGTGAGCCGGGGCTCGACCTTCCTGGGCAGCTCTCGTGTCCTCACACCCGTCTACCCCTATGGCCTTAGCTTGGACTCCTGCAATAGCATGACGTCTCCACGAGCCCCCTCGCTGCTGCCACAGTAATGGCCTAAAAACGAGGCAGTCTTCCCATCCGCCAGGCCTGCCCCTCTGCCCCGTCCAGGGCTTGGCATTATCTGTCCACACTTCTCTTCTAGCCAGGCTCCACGTGACCCCTCTGCCCCTTCCTGCCTTCCCCAGGAGCACACTAGTTATTGCACAAGACAAACACAAAGGCCATGTTTACTTAATCCCTATTCTGTCCTCCGCACTTGCAGTGCCTCCCCATGTCCCCATCCTGAAACTGTATTCTGCTTTGAGACAAAGTCTGTAGACAGTTGTGCATGTAGAATAAAGCGTCAGAATGAGTAACGTGAAGGATTGAGCCAGGCTCCCCGGGGAATAGGACGGGTGACCTTGGTCAAATGACTTAGCCCCTCAAGGCTTCAGTTTCCTCTTCTTAAAATACGGATTACCCATCTGTTTTACAGGTAAACAGACTACGTCTGTAGTGGTAATTAAGATTGTTCACCAGCTCTTTTCTGGTTCTTTCCCTTCCTGGGGATGTGGTAGGAATCCACGACCCCGGCCTCTTGCAATGAGCCGTGAGCCATATGCCTTGCTTTTAGGGCAATGGAATGAGAGCACCATTTTCATGTAGAAACTTTTCAGATCCAATGGGCAAATCCTCGTATCTTGACAATTCTGAAAGTACAGTCTTGGCAATCCTATCCTGACAACCATGGAGGTACCGAGGTAGAGCCTCCCCCAGCCAGCCTGGGTCTCTGTAAACATGGCCAAGCAGTCCCAGGTAACCTGCATTGGAAAAGTAAGTGTGAGCGAGATTATGGGGGCTGGGGGGTGTTACAGCAGCATAACCCAGCTTATTCTGGCTGATAGTTTGCTTACAAGTGCCTGGGACGTCATCGGTATTTGTTGAGTGACTAGCTCCTACCATAGGCTGGTACCATTTCATGACAGTAAACCCTTTAGGGTGGTTGTTGTAATCCGTATTTTCCATTGAGGAAACCACATCAGAAAACTTAAGTCATTTGACTGAGATTACACAGGTTGTAAATAGCACCTGGATTTCAACCCTACCTGTCCAGTCCCAAATTTTATACTCTTCCTCTTCCACATGTGCTATGCTGCCTCTCCTTAAATGGGAAGGATGGAAACACCCGGTACAATGCCTGGCACACAGTCCTACCCAAGCACTGGGAGTTCCTCTCCAGACTGAATTCCTATAGCATTTATAATTGGAACCACACTTCAGCACAATGTTATCACGCATTGTATTCCGTGTTTTCCATAGATAAAGCTTTTCCTCCAACAAGACCACCCCCCCCTTCCTGGATTTAGGCAGAGCTTGCATTCTGGAGTCAGACTGCCTGAGTTCAAATCCCTGTCCCACCACTAGCAATTGACAATCTTGGGCAACTCTTTGCCCTCTCTATGCCTCAGTTCTCTCATCTGCAAAATGGGGATGCTAATAACATAGGTGATATTGGCGGTGGTAACAATAATATGTCCCATGGGGTTGGTGTGGGGATTAAGGGATATAATATATACATTCAATAAATCATGGCTATTAATATACTTATTTTTCATCTTCCGTGGCTCCTACTAGAATTCAGACAATTCCAAGCAATTTAATCCTACTGCTTGTATAGGCTGATTTCTGGGATCATCCCGGATAGAGGACAGTTATTGTAACATCTGTAGTTGGAAGCATTATATCCACACGGTCCTATAACTTAGATTTCATAAGGCTCATTGCTTGTTTTTTTATTACACTTTCTTTCCAAACCACTTGAAAGAAGGTGTGTGTGCTTTCTTGAGAAATCTTTGTTCAGAAAACGGACCTTTATATGTATTACTTCTAATCACCGTAAAGCTGCCATTTGGCTGTTATGATTCCCATTTGGCTGTGGAGAACACTGAGTCTCAAAGAAGCTAAGTTGCTTGTGATCGGACAGCTGGTAACTACCTGAATCCAAGTTTGAACTCAAGTCTGACTCTAAGATTTTGCCCAGGCCCCTATTCCAAGCTGCCTGACATCCCAGCTCACAGCAGTGAATAGCTGTGCTTTGGTTAACACCAGTCTTCCAGTTTTCTAGATGAGGGTTTGGAAAGTTACCGAAGATTGTGGCATTTCCAACTTTAGTATGTTATCTGGTAGACGTCTTGCATTAAAGAGAAACCTAAGAAGATCCTCATTCTTCACTGTGGCAGAGATGGCTAGCTGCCCGCCAAAAATTTATGCTTCTCCTTTTATAGGGGAGTTGATGAACTGCTGCTCAACTGGGGCTATATTTCCCAGCCTCCCTTGCATCCAAGCATGGTCACATGACTAGTTCTCTCTAATGGAATATGAGCAAAAATAATGGTCATTACTCCCAGGCCAGGATGTTTAAAAATGGGGTGTGCCTTCCCCACTGTACCTTGCTGGAAGCAAAGGATTCCAAGGCTCCAGTAGATGGTGGACTCACTAGAGAAAAGGAGCCTGGCTCCCTGCATCACCTTGAGGAATGAAGCCACCCTCTGGTCAGGACATTGGACTGGTACATGAGTAGGAAATAAACTTGTGTTCTGTTAAGCCCCAGAAATTAGAGGGTGTTTTTGTTTTAGCAGCAAGTATTGCCCTCACTAATACATACAGCTTATACTAAGTCATATTTACATATAAAAAAGCAAAATTGAAGATTATAACAACCATCTGAATAGGTGAAACCAAAAATCCCACTTTTTTATTTCTTGTCTACTTACAGTACTTATAGAAGGAGAAAGCAAGTGTATATGGAGCCAGTTTTTCCTTTAATTTTTTCCCCTCAGTTACATGTATCAGAAACCAATGAGGAGTATAGAGTGGTCATAAGACAATAAGCAATAAATTTACTCATTCGACTATATATCTTATTTTCTTACCGCATGCCAGGTATCTGGGGCTGAGGATGTCCTGGACAACACAGGAATGGTCTCATCTTCATGAAGTTTCCAGTCTGTGGGTATTAAACATAATTTACAGCAGTCAACTGACCTCTGGCCACCAGATTTCTTGGGAGCACCAAGTCTATTTGAATGTGAAATAGATACCTACAATAAAAACTAAAATTTACTCACAAATCAAAACAGAAAGCTATGTTGCCCAGCCAGTGTGGCTCAGTGGTTGAGTGTCAACCTATGAACCAGGAGGTCAGGGCACATGCCGGGTTCCAGGCTTGATCCCCAGTGTGGGGCATGCAGGAGACAGTTGATCAATGATTCTCTCTCATCATTGATGTTTCACCTCTCTCTCCCTCTCACTTCCTCTGAAATCAATAAAAAAATATTTTTTTAAAAAATAAAAAGCTATGTTTTCTTCCCTTGCTAAGTGACTAAAGAAGCAGTAAGAATGGTGGTTAAGAGCATAGA